GGCATCTACAGTAGCAAAGCCAAGACTGAGATTTATATTAGGAAAGTTACGTATAAGGAATGCTTTATCAAGAAGGTATCTGTGAAGGCTAGAAGAAGGGTAGGCAGTTCTGGCAGAGGACCAGTTAGTAGGATAACCAGGACCTTTAACATGACAGAAAAGAGCCTTGTTAGTATTGGCAAGGCTAACACTTCTGTATTCTTTTAGTCTGTCAGAAAGAGAGCAGCCAGCTTCTCCAAAATATTGGAGAGGACAAAAGGAGCAGGAAATGGAGTAATCTCCAGAAGCGTCAGTGGTAGGGAAAGGTTTGAAATAGATTACTACAAAGGGTATTAGTTTGACACAAAGGAAATTTGAGGTCTAAGGAACAGAGGGTGTCAAGATTTGGGAGACTGGGAATATAGGGAAGGCAAACAACAGGAAATTTTACAGGTGTAGAGAGTTTTGGGAGAGAAGAAAGTCCTACAGCTACTCTCTACTCCCACCACTACACTGCTTCCACCACTACACTGCTTCCACCACTACACTGCTTCCACCACTACACTCTGCTTCCACTACTACTTTCTGCTTCCACTACTACTACTCTGCTCTCACCACTACTCTCTACTCCCACCACTATACTCTGCTCCCACCACTACTATCTGCTCCCACCACTACTCAGTGCTCCCACCACTACTCTCTCCTCCCACCACTAGTCTCTCCTCCTATCACTACCTACTCTCTCCTCCCACCACTATTGGGATTTATATCAAGAAGTGTAAGCAGCAGAATTCCAGAGGTTATACTGCAGCTTTATACATCATTAGTAAGGCCTCACCTAGATTATACAGCTCAGTTCTGGTCTCCATATTACAGAATGGATATAAATTTGTTAGAAAACATTCAGCGTAGAATGACTAAATTAATACATAGCATTAGAAATCTTCCTTATGAAGAAAGATTGAAGACTCTTAAATTACATTCTCTTGTTAGACGGAGAATGAGGGGAGATATAATCAAAGTTGGTTTAGAAAGACACGTAAGCAAACACTATGACATATTTATTAGAAAACGTTTCGGTCCTGGGACCTTGATCACTTCTAGCATACAGAGGTAGAAAGACATTATATATATAGGCGGAGTGTGAGGTGTGACGCACGTGACCTGAGGAATGTCATAAGAACATAACATAAGAATGGAGGAACACTGTAGAAGGCCTACTGGCCCATGCGAGGCAGGTCCTTATCAAAACAACCTCTGCCTATGATGAGGACGGGTAGACGTAAAATCATGTGACTCCTGTGTTGTTGGGTTGGTGGTGCTTAAGTATCATGTATGCCAATGTTTTTGAAATTTTGTAGTTTCCAGTGTTGCGTTCTATAGTGTCGGTGACGGCGATTAGTGAGGCTTCTAGGCACCGTCGGCGTCTGAGGTCTGGTTCGGTGAGAACGAGTTGTGCCTCATTCCAGTTCATCAAATGTCCCGTGGAGTCTCTGTGGAGGACACAGGCGTACCTTACATCGTCTCTGTTAGAGGCATTTCAATGCTCATTCAAGCGGACTGCAAGATCTCTGCCTGTCTCGCCTACATATTTCTTGGGACAGAACCCACAGGGGATAGTGTAGACGCCTGCTGTAGAAGTTAGAGGTGTGGGGCTGCGTTTCGTAGTGAGGTCTTTGATAGATGATGTATTTATGGTGGAAACGTTGATGTTACTCATAGCAAGTGCCCAGCGAGTATTCGTGGCAACATCACCACATGGGAGTACTATGAACTGCTTAGGGGGCTGTTCCATGGGCGGTTTGTTGAGAATAGCTTGTGCCTTAAGTCTGCAATCTCGGATGAAGAAAGATGGGAACTGAAGACGTGTAAAGGCTTGTGTTATGTAAGTGCATTCTTCTTCTAGAAAACAAGGGCTGGAGATGCGAAGAGCTCTCAAGAAGAAGCCGATGAGGACTCCTCTCTTAGTGCGGGTGTCTTGGTGTGAATAAAAGTGTATAAGATCGTCCTTGTTGGTAAGTTTTCTATACACTTTAAAGAGAAGTTTGTCACTGTCGGGAGATCTGCACAGTAGAACGTCGAGGAAAGGAAGTTTGCCATCATTTTCGAGTTCAAGTGTAAACTTTATTGATGGTTCAACTGTATTGATCTTGTTGAGAAGGGCCTGGATATTGAGACGTCTCGGATAGAAAACCAATACATCATCAACGTATCTTAGCCAGGTAACGGTGTTGGGAATGAGGGTGCTGAATTTCTCTGTCTCCAAGTTTTCCATGAAGAGGTTGGCAAGCACAGCACTGAGCGGGCTGCCCATTGCCATCCCAAAGCACTGTTTGTAACAGTTGTCCTGATACATGAAGAAGTTGAAATTAACACTTAAGTTCCACTAGATTGATGAAGTCTAGAAGAGGTAAAGGGAGGTCGTGGTTTTCAGTGAGCCTCTGTCTCAGAATGTTGATTGCAGCGTCAGTAGGAACGTTGGTGAAGAGGGCTGTGACATCGAAGGAAGCCATGCTTTTGTTTTTGACATTCAGGTTGGAAATTCGGGAGAGAAGGTCACCTGAGTGCTTGAGGTGGGCTTGACTGATGGTGCCCAGAAGCGCTGAAAGGTATTTGGCAAGGTGGCCGGCTAGTCTGTGTGGTGCACTCCCTATGCCCGAAGTGATAGGCCGTAGTGGGATGCCAGGTTTGTGTGTCTTAGGAAGGCCATACAGACGTGCTGGTTTCGGTTGACCTGGTAAAAGTTTAAGTAGTTTTTTGCCTTGTTCTGATTTTCGTAAGATGCTACGAGCCTTTTGAAGAAAAGGACGATCTTATACACTTTTATTCACACCAAGACACCCGCACTAAGAGAGGAGTCCTTATTGGCTTCTTCTTGAGAGCTCTTCGCATCTCCAGCCCTTGTTTTCTAGAAGAAGAATGCACTTACATAACACAAGCCTTTACACGTCTTCAGTTCCCATCTTTCTTCATCCGAGATTGCAGACTTAAGGCACAAGCTATTCTCAACAAACTGCCCATGGAACAGCCCCCTAAGCAGTTCATAGTATGTACTCCCATGTGGTGATGTTGCCACGAATACTCGCCGGGCACTTGCTATGAGTAACATCAACGTTTCCACCATAAACACATCATCTATCAAAGACCTCACTATGAAACGCAGCCCCACACCTCTAACTTCTACAGCAGGCGTCTACACTATCCCCTGTGGGTTCTGTCCCAAGAAATATGTAGGCGAGACAGGCAGAGATCTTGCAGTCCGCTTGAATGAGCATCAAATGCCTCTAACAGAGACGATGTAAGGTACGCTTGTGTCCTCCACAGAGACTCCACGGGACATTTGATGAACTGGAATGAGGCACAACTCGTTCTCACCGAACCAGACCTCAGACGCCGACGGTGCCTAGAAGCCTCACTAATCGCCGTCACCGACACTATAGAACGCAACACTGGAAACTATAAAATTTCAAAAACATTGGCATACATGATACTTAAGCACCACTAACCCAACAACACAGGAGTCACATGATTTCAACGTCTACCCGTCCTCATCATAGGCAGAGGTTGTTTTGATAAGGACCTGCCTCGCATGGGTCAGTAGGCCTTCTACAGTGTTCCTCCATTCTTATGTTCTTATGTTCTTATGACATTCCTCAGGTCACGTGTGTCACACCTCACTCTCCGCCTATATATATAATGTCTTTCTACCTCTGTATGTTAGAAGTGATCAAGGTCCCAGGACCGAAACGTTTTCTAATAAATATGTCATAGTGTTTGCTTACGTGTCTTTCTAAACCAACTTGTTGGTATTTATTACCACGGTTTATACTACATAATCAAAGTGTATAAGTGGAAGATGGGTATTAATAAAGGGACATTAATAAGGTCTTGAGGATGTCTCTCCAAGAGAGAACCCGCAGTAATGGATTTAAATTAGACAAGTTTAGATTTAGAAAGGACATAGGAAAGTATTGGTTTGGAAATAGGGTAGTTGATGAGTTAGGTTATTGAGGCTAGGACTTTGGGTAGTTTCAAATTTAGGTTGGATAAATATATGAGTGAGAGGGGTTGGATTTGAGTGGGACTTGCAAATGAGTGGATAGTTATCAGAGCTTATTTCTTGGGTAGCATTGAAAATTGGGTTGGGCAAATGTTTTGTTAGTGGGATGGATTGTAAAGGACCTGCCTAGTATGGGCCAACAGGCCTGCTGCAGTGATCCTCCTTTCTTATGTTCTTATGTACTCACTCTCTCCTCCCACCACTGCTCACTCTTTCCTCCCACCACTGCTCACTCTTTCCTCCCACCACTGCTCACTCTTTCCTCCCACCACTGCTCACTCTTTCCTCCCACCACTGCTCACTCTTTCCTCCTACCACTACTCACTCTCTCCTCCCACCACTACTCTCTCCTACTACTACTTGTTCTGTAATTAGTATATATCTCTTAATGACTACATTAAACTTCTGTCCTTTCCAAGTTGTATAGACAAGGGCGAATATTATTATGGTTAGGAGGAGGCACTAAACCTGTACAGGTTGTACAGAGTGTCAAAATGGAAGCAATTGAGTTTGATCCAAAGGCGGGGAGAAAAGACCCGGTTACGTGGATGAAGAGCCTCTTACCAGTATGATGGCAGCAAGGGTGAGATTATGGTCACATAGTCCAGTTAGTGGCTGAGGGACTGATCACCTCAAACTCCTCCTCATCTTCCACCATTCTTCTCTGTTATGGACTGAAGAAGCCACTGGCTGGCGAACATTTCCAAATGTAGCACAAATGTTTTGGGGTTTTCTAAACCAATTACATCATAGTGGCTTAAACTTGAGTGATGGAGAGGTGCTCACATTGTGTTATGCTTCACTGGATCACAATGTTTTATGACTGGGTGAATGTGAGTATTATCAGAGAGCATTGTGAATAATAGTAGCCCATTAAGATTGTAGATCTCTTTTCTCATATGTCTTATATTTCAGTGTACTCATTGTTCAGCATTATTAGTTATGATTTATTTGTTTGTAGGTGGACCAGCAGCCCAAGCAGGAGTTAAGAAGGGTGACTCTATCATCAAAGTTAATGGAACAATAGTGTCACAAGTCAACCATAAAGAAGTGGTGCAGATCATTAAGTGTAAGTTACTACTTAGATAGTGTTTTAAATTTTTGCTTGGTATTGTGAGTGGTGCAATGAGTTTATATATCACTCAGGAAAGATTGCTTAGCAATTTTTAAATAGCTGTGTATATACCCTTTGAGAAATATCTCTGCAGCTGATAACCAAAGAATGTTTGTATCAATATAATAGTATAATTTTTAACTCTTGCTGTTCTTTTATACTACCATACCTGTATATATAACTAAAAAAATCTCACAACACTGTTAATGCATATTAAAAGCTTGAACCCTGCAACTATTCCCTTGCACAGAACATGTATTGGATAGTTGCTGAGGTATTTTATCATGTGCAAGTATATTGTAGTGGCCCGATTTAGTAGGCTCCACCCACCCTTTGTCCCCAGCCAATCATACATCTTAGCCCTCCATACCTCCCATGTATACCCTCATCCTGGCATTCAGTTGTCCATCTTTTGCCATTGTGAGTACATGTTGCTCCTTTTTCTTTTACTGTGAATAGTTTTTCATTTTGTAATTGTAAATATATCAATTATAAATTTATAATTGAAGCATTTCATTATATTAACGCTGATGTCTACTAATAATTTTTAATAGTAAAACACAAGGAAACATTGTAGTAATGAAACTGGAAGAGGAATGAAAGCTCTTTCAATATAGATGGCCATAGAGTTTTTATCCTTTCAGGTAAGAATTTTTAATTTATTTCAGTAAAACTTCATTTTAATAGACCAATAAGGAAGAGATGGATACCCTGTCTGTTTTTTTTTTTTTTTCATTCTATTGGCCATTATCTGTTCTGTATTTCCAATTTGTTGTTTATTAAATAGTCAGCCTTGTAACACAGCACCACAAACAAATGCCAGTATATGTTTGTAGGTTACTGAAAAAACTGTGGGCTTTTGAATTATAGTAGTGATGATTAAAGTAGACTTTTTTCCACTCTAAATTTTGAATGAATTGTAAACTAGGTTCTTTCTGAGTGTTAATTCAGACAGCTGTATATGTAAAATTTGACTATTATAATTTTACAAGTGAGAAAAATAAAAAAAGAAAATATCTATAGAACATTTATTGCAAGAATTCAACGTTCTATGAAGTTTTTTATTTTATTTTTTTATTTTTTGGGTCTTTCCCCACTTGTAAAATTATAATTCTTCAAGCTCAATCACCTGTTTGTTAACAGTATTACTTATGCATATATAAATATTGTGAACAATTCATACGGTGTTCATTCAGTAATAATAAAAAAGAAACATAATTAACCTTACCTTTCCTTAAATAACCTGTAATTTGCTTTTTCTTTCCTTATTCTACTGCTGCATTTTGTCTTAAATTTCTAATGCAAATCAGTCCAGGTACTGACCAGAATCATCTCTTGCTTTGGTAGTATGTCAATTGATACAAAAAAACTGCCAATGAAACCATAAAACTATCCTAGAAAATGCCTCAAAGTTGCTATGTTAAACCTGACACTAGATCAGAAGTTTGCTTTTCCTGTCATGCACCACGTAGGGCAAGATTCTTTTTATAATGTGTACACTCACTGCACAGACCCATTCTCTCATGTCTAAGCCAAGGCCAAAATTTACTATTTGCTGTACAGATGAGGGCACTATGCTTAAAACACAGCTCTTCATGAGTGATACTGGAATCAGTAACGTAGATCTACGTGAAATGCAGTGAAAGGGTTAAGGGGTACTGCAATTCCAGGTTGCTATATTCTGCACCAGTACCTGTACTCTGACAGTATACTTAAATGCCCTTCTATGGATTGGCTGCAGTTAACATACAAGTTAAGCTGAATTGATCAATATGTTGGCTTATAAATGAGGGAACAAGTTATTCTGTCATTAACCCTTAAACGGTCCAAACAAATCAACGTTCAAATTCGTAGTGCTACAAAAGTAGATCTCCTTTTTTTTACATATTTTCAAATATAACCAAAAAAAATGTAGATAAAAGTTTTTTTACACGTTTTCAAATGTAAAACAAAAAAGATGATCTACATTTTTTTACATACTTTCAGATGTTGAAAAAACGTATATATACGTTTGGACCATTTAAGGGTTAATAACAATATGAAAATGCAGTTAGGGCAGAAGAGAGCCCTGTGAAAATTAAGAGGAAGTCATTCAGAGTAGGATAATAAATCAGAAGCCTCATAGGAGAACTACCATGAGAGCTTACTTGAAATCCTTTCAGTATCGCATGAATAGAAATACTGTACTAATATTCTGAATTTGGTAGAGTAACTTGGAGTTGAAACATTTTTCATAACCTCCATACTAATTTGACTAGAGATGAACCTCAGGCAAAGTATAAGGAATTCAGTAATGAAAGGGCAAGTCAAATTTCAAGAATTTTAGTTATGTAGCAGTGGAAAATGGGTGCTTAAAATAAATAAGCAAAGGAGGAACAGATGAAATTGGAAAGACTGTTATTTTTAAATTCAGAACCATAATGTTTGATATATAACTATTGAAAACCCCCATAGAGAAATATTTCCACATCTAATGACCAAAGTAGTTTTTCTTCAGTAAAATACTGTAATGTTATGCTGCAGTATGTTAATACATATAAGGTACGAAGCATTTAACTTGAACTTTCAATGAGCAGTAGACATATTACAGTGTTCAAGTCATGTCATTTTGCCTTGATCATTGTTAAAAAAAAAATAGATAATTCTTAGTTGGTGAGATAGTCATAAAGAAAATTAAATTTTAATTTTATTTTGAAAAATTTTTCTTTGATTCATCAGTAGTGTATATCTAGTTTCATGTCTTGTTTCCTTGGAGTAACTTTTAAAGTATGAACTCAAAGAAGCATTTAAAGCATTTGCTAATAAATCTACATTTAGTTTTTTGTTGTCTAATAAATGAATTAGTCATGACATGTTTGTACTAAGAAATAAAAAAAAAATGGGTGGAAGCATTAAGGAGTGCTGCAGTATGCACATGTGAGTGGGAGGGTGATAGAAATGAGCTGGGAAAAATCTCAGGAAATAAGCAAGGTGGGAGTGACCCAAAATTAATATGGTGGTTGATAAATGTTACAAACCACCAGAAAGATGTGCCCTTGAGTTTTGGCCCCAGGCTGATAACCATAGTTTATAGATAACAGTGAGCTAAAAATGTTGCAGTGTGTCGTTAATAGTTATATGTAGGTAGACTATGTATTCTATTTATAATTTGTGTTTCTTAGGATATTTATTTAAAGAAAATATGAGAATACAGTAATTTAGTGAAGAAATAGTACAGATAATTTAACCTGTATTTTGTTTTACATTTTTCATCTTGGGTAGTTTATTAATAAAGTTTCTGTTCAGTACAATATATTATAGAGTACTGTGCTAGGATATGTATTACTTTTGCCTTGTTAAGCAGTGTTGAATGACCCACATGGGCTTAGCGCTTTCTGTGAATATATTACAATAATAATTTTGCCTTATATCAGTGCTGTTTTTATCATTTTGTATATTTTTAATCATCAGTCATATTTTAACTATGATAATGACTGCTTAAAGAAAATGTCTTCCATTTACAAGACTATGGTCAACTGCATGTTAAAATTATTTTTGGCTGTACAATACCTGCAGTTTAGCAATAATCTACTTATTAGGTGCAGTATTTCTTTTTGTGTACAGTACCTTTTAATTATTTTTTATGAAGACAATAGGAGGTATCACTAATGCATGCTTTATCATATATATTTTAAGGAATAGCATGGCTTGTATTTTATACTAATGATGTTTGTCTTTTGGCATATTCGCTCTCTCTCTGGTAAGTACAGGCTAAATTATTTATTGGACAATAGCTTGTGCCTAGTACAGCATCTTAGTGTTCTGTTTAGAACTTTCTTTTACTGGTATATGTACGATATTGACTTCTTTGGGTAGTTCTCTTCAAAATTACCATTGTAAGCATGTGCTGTCTATATTTTTGGCACATTCACTCTCTGTATGTATGGTAAATATTGTACAGGTTGAATTATTTTTTAAACACATGTTTGTGTTTAGTTCAGTATTCTCAGTTGCTCTTATATATTCAGGTTTCCCTTTCTCTGTACAGTTTCTCGTTACCTGAATTCAGTTTTATTTGGTAACCCCCATTTCTGCTAACAATGCGCTATAGTTTTCTTTAACACTGGCCATTTCCCACAAAGGTAGGTTATCTCTTCTCAAAAACAAAAAAAAAGAGGAAACGGATTTGCCATCATTTATTCAATCACTATTTTATCAGAAACATTCTTATCCCTTTAGAGTGCAGGTACTGGACTTCCCACCTCCAGGACTTTATCCCAGCTAACCAATTTCCCAGGAACCCTTCATATGTTATCTTGCTTAAACTACAGCAGCACATGAAGTCAAAAGAACCACTTGCCTCCACCCTGATCTAATGTACTCACACATGCATGTTGGATCCTCAGGCTCTTAGCACTTAAAAACCTCCTTTATACCCTTCTTCCAAACCTTCCTTGGTTGACCTCTACCCCTCCTTCCCTCCACCCCAAATTTATATATTCTTTCAGTCATCGTATTTTGCTCCATCCTCTAAATGCCAAAGCAGCTTCAACACCCTCTTCTCAGCTCTCTAAATTATACTCTTGTTAACCCCCCATGCATACACTATGCTTTGAATTCTCTGCATAATATTAACGTTACACAGTGACCTCAAACATGACATCTCAGCTTCCTCCTCTTTGTAACATTTAAAATCCACACTCATACCCATATAACCGTTGGTACTACTGTACTCTGATACATTTCCTTTATGGATGAAAATTCTTTGTCTCCATAGATGCCGCAAACACTCCACCCACCTTTTCCCCCTCATCTGTCCCATTCTATGTTCATAGACAAAATATAAATGTACACTTATTTGATCACCTGCACCCAGTACCACTTGAATTTTTTAATAATATACTATCTTGAAATCTCACTCTAAATTGGTTTATTCTGTTTTATAAGAAAGAATTGAAAAAAATTCTTCCCCCATA